GATATTCTTTTTTGGCCTTACATATTGTAAATTATAACAGGATGTTATCTATTTCGAGTGATTTGTCGATACCATCATCTAGACAACTTTTTTAGATTTGTGTCATACAATAATTATAGCTATTTTCTTTTGCTATTTATTGTAATTGACACTTTAATTATATTGTAATTTTCCTTTGGACAATATCTGAAGTTTCATGTACTATGAGGAAAAAGGTGACCTTTATTTGAGAAGTTTTATATACGTTGCAGATTTTAATAGGAGTATGCCAATAACATCTGTTAGCCCATACATATGAGATAAGAATATACATATATTAATTTGTGTTTATAATTATAGTATTTTAAAATACTAAATATTATCATCTTTTATTTCATTTGGAGAAGAGATACTTTGTTGTCATATTTTAATTTGTTATTGGTATCCAAGAGTAGATTCCAATTATTGAACTATTTTTTGTTTGAAAATGAACGATATTCATGTAATTTAATTATAAATCTATTTTAATACAATGATAATTTGAAACAATTTATGTCAATTTAGATGACCACACACGTGTCCAGAAACTAGAAAGATAAAACATATATACCTGTGAAATGGTTGGATCCGAGATACAATATATGCAAGTTACTCACTCTTCCAATTTCACTATGTATTGGTCCATCAAAATTATTTCCGGATAGAGACAATATTTGAAGTTGTGAACAATTTGACAAGCTTGTAGGCATATGACCATGAAGTTTGTTTGTTGATAGATAAAGCTTTTTGAGTGTCGGGAGACCATTGCATAAACCATTGGGAAGATTTCCTGATAAGCTATTGTTTGTAAATGCAATGACTTGGATACTAGAAATATTGAAAATTGTGAATGGTATAGAACCCGTAAGCTTATTATATTGTATGGACAAGAATTTCAGGTTCTGAAGATTGCCAATCTCTTCCGGAATGTTTCCTTCAAGTAAATTGGCAGATATTTCTAAAGTCTCCAACCTTGAGGCATTTGAGAGTGACGGAGGAATGGAACCAGTGAAACTATTATTTCCAAGATTTAGAACTTGAAGTTGGTGTAAAAACCCAAACCAAGAAGGAATTTCCCCTCTCAAGTTGTTGAAACTTAACTTAAGAAATTTAAGCCGACGTAAGCGTACCATTTCTTGAGGCAAATTTCCATGGAAATTGTTCCTTCGCAAATCAAGAGAAACAAGAAATGTGAGGTTTCCAAAATCACGAGGAGTCCTGTCGGTAAGAGCCATTCTGGATAGATTCAAGGACTTCACTCTCTGGTGACGGTAGTCACAAGTGACTCCTACCCACTGACAAACATTAATAGCAGGAGACCAACTTTCATCCAAATAATGAAAAGGTCTGAACTAATTTGGGATTTCAAAGAGAGAAGAGCTAATTGATCAGTAGTAATGTTGGTTTGGGTCATAACATAGTGAAAGCAACAAGAGTATTGTCAAGAGGAAAAATGTGAAGGCTTTCTCCATTAGTGCAAATATTAATAGAAAAATGATATGGTAAGTAACATGTGGTATTATTGAGGCTTTAAATAGCAATGAGATCAACATGATTATTATTACTTTTTTTTAAAATTACTTTTATTTATTCATATCAATACTAATACTACCAAATCAATCAGAAATGTAAAATGGTGCAAAAATTCTCCTAATCATCCAAAGACTTGTGCAAGTCAACTAAAGTCTCTTATTTTCTCTATAATTGTGTGGTGAAATGTAGTGCTACTTTTAGCAACTGTGAGGGTATATATGCATCATATTTTTAATGAGGGATATATTTTCCGTTTTCTTTTTTAAAATAAATTAATACACAACATTAATTTGTATTGGCTGTTATCATTTTTAGGGAATTTTTCCAGGTTATGTGGTCCAAAGACTTGACAAAATTGGTTAGGACCATATATACATCAAGTCTTGGCAACCATAAATGTGGTGGCAAAATTATTCCTCTAATCAGTCCAAAGACTTCCCAAGTTGCCTTCTACTAAATTATTGTTTTAGGAAAAATTTCCAATTTACGTGGGTCCTAAATATTTGACAAACTGAAGAAGACCAAAAATCAACCAAGTCTTGCTAACGTAAATGTGGGGGCAAAATATACATCTAATTAACTGGTTCAAAAGATGCTCGATCATAGTTATATTTAATGGGCATAATATATACACATGACTCTTAACTTGGCTTTAGCTGACAACTATGCTCTTTAACTTTGGGTTTGCGCAACTAGTCACTTAAATTTGTATAAAATTAAACAAATAAACACATTTGTCCTACGTAATGACAATTTTGTATCCTACATGACATCCTATGTGTATTATGCCACTTAGGACACATGTGTCTACTTCTTCAAATTTATACAAGTTTAAGTGTCTACTTAAGATGTCAGTTGAAGCCAATTTTTTTATTCAGAAATGTTTTTATAAACTAGTTTCTAGACAATGCACGTGTATCCCAATTATATGAAATGGATATTTTTGAAATTTTAGGAGAATATTAAAATATGATTGTGATGATTAGTTAAGTATGAGAGCAATTTGACTAAATATGTATGAGACTTTTTTTTGTTTCCCATTTGGTGTTTCGCTAATTCGAATTCATGTGTGACATTCCACTTTGAGGGTACTTCTTATAAGGTCTTTCCACTATCAAGAATTGAATTCATAACATTGAATTAAGAATGAATGAATATTTATCAATCAATCAACAGATTTGATGAAAATATATATGAATTTCGGTGTGCACATATTATAAAAGGACAAACTTCAAATTTATTTCAAATTAATTAATTAATAAGGGTTCTTACTAACATGCTGATGACATTTCTTTCTTACTCATTAAGAGAAAGATATTTCGCCCTACAGTAAAAAACAACCTTTCCAGGAAAGAGTGAACAAATACATTGAAAGTTTAAAAAGCTTACTCCAAAACATACCACGGGAAAAATAAAGAGAGATCACAATTATTTCCTCTTTTAGAAATAAAAACTACGACTTTTATGATTAAATAAAGAATTGTAGCATAGCGTAAAAAATATAAAAAAAATAAAAAAAAATCATTTTATACAATAACAAATCAAGAAATAAGAAAAATATGAATAACATATCCCAAAATTGGTTAGACTCTTAATCTGCCAAGATATTATCTAGATTTGACAATCAATTCATCAAAAATAAAAGAAACAACTATAAAAATAACAAAACTCAAACGAAAAGTAATAGGAAATGATTTTTTTTATCTGATTTGATAGGAAAATTGTTACTCACTCGTCTACAGGTTTATTAGTATGGACCCATCTCAATGTATAATAACACTTACAAATGTTTTAGGACCTTCTTGTCTATCATACCATTTTATACAAGATTTTAGAGATAAATCAGAAAACTCTCATTGTAAGAGAACATGTTAGAATGAACTCCTAAAGAAGTAAAGATATATATGTACCCAATCCACTCTATGGATTTCCAGATTATCCGTTTCACTATGGACACAAATACAATCATTTTTGTGTGACGCCTCTATGATCGACCCGATGTAACTATTCCTTACAACTGAAATATATTCAAAAAATTTGATACCGCTTTGCTGTTGTAGAGTTTTGGAATAAAATTGGCATGTTCTTCATTACTATCCAATTAGTAAATTTAAGATTGCTAGCTAGTAATGGATGAAAGTCAAAACAATAATCATTTATATATATATATATATATACACATGAATGAATGAATATTTGAGCATGTAAAAAAGAATTTTCATCCAACAATATATATTTTATTGATTTATCAAAAACTCTAACTTAAAAGAGATTATGGTAAGAAATTTAAAAAAAAATTGAAATAAAGAATGAAAATTAAAGAAAATACCTTAGTAAACATCTAGTCAATCTACATAGAAAGCGGTATGATATATCTGCCATCGTATGATACAAAATGAGAAGATCTAAACAAAACAATATATTAATTAAAAAAGAAGGAACCAACAAATAAAAAATTGAGTAAAACAAGAGGATGAAACACAAAAAAATAAGAGGACTAACATTTTCTTGTTCAATTTATAAAAGGATAAACCAAAAATGAAAGGAATGCTAATAGAAGAATGTAATAACAGAAACTAAAAGGACCCACGAGTAAACCTCATTAAGAAGTGGAAGATGATAAATTCTAGCCTTTAACAATGTATTTGGTCAACATAGCTGTCATTTTTTTTATTTAATTAAGACACTTGAAGGGCATTTTCGTAATCCAACTTTAGACTTAGGATCTTCCCACTTTTAATATATATATATATATATATATGATGATTTCTATTCTTGAAAATAAAAAAACAACGTTAATTTGTATGGCTTTTATCATTTGAAGACTTGACCAATTAAACAACCAAGTCTTGCAATTTTATTTTATTTTTAAAGAAAAACTTTAGACTTGTGCGTAGAGTTCGTGCCAAAATGTACAAATGGATACACATTATAGTTTGGGTGAAATATATTCAATTGACCATGCTTGAGCCTTGGACAAGTTGTTCTTAAGTAGCACCAAAACATCATCTTTCTTCAGCATGTACTTCTCGACTAAATCATTTGCAGCATTGCCATCAGTTTGCGGGTGGTACGCTGTACTCATAGCCAGATAGGTGCCCTGGAGTCTATTAATTTCCTGCCAAAAAGAGTGAAGAAATCTCTGATACCTGTCAGTTACTATAGCTCACGGAGGTCCATATAGTTTAATGACATTATCAACAAAAGCAACAGAATGCGCTGTGAAAGTGGATGGCCATGGAATAAAATGCCCATATTTTGACAAGCGGTCTACAACAGTCATGATTGTGGCCTTCCCCATAGAACTCGGAAGGCTAGTGATGAGGTCCATAACGATCTCCTGAAACACCACATTCGGTATAGGCAATGGTTGCAGCAGGGCTGCGATTCATGTCCTTCATTTGTTGACACACTTGGCAAGCAGTCACAAAAGCTTGAATAGATGAAAGACGATGAAAAGTACGAGCGATCCCAGCGTGCCCACCAATAGGGGAAGAATGAAATTCTTGTAATAGACGGATGCATACTGGAGAATCAAATGGGATAACTAGTCTTCCTTTGAAAAATAATAACCATTCTCAAAGGACATAATTGGAGTAGGTAGCAGTTTGGTGCTCAATGCCATGTTTAATGGTAAGCATTTCCGGATGGGATTGGGTGGCCATTCAAATTTCATCAATCCAGTCAAAAGTCCGAATAGATAAGGCATTTAAAGTCCCTTCAACAGTTGTTCTTTCATTTTTTCTTTTAATCATGTAGGCTTTATAATCATAGCATTTTTTGTCATTGTTGTTTTTGTTTGTTGTGTTGATGTTACATGTCCTCTTAGGCAAGTTACATTTACTATATGATTTGCCTATTTATAGTCATATAGTTCATTCGACTTTTGCAACACTAATAACTATCAAGAGGAAACAGTGACATTTATTGCAACCAACTAGCATTTCTGAAAACAGAATCATGCACAAATCAAGTGCTAAAACAAAACAGAAAAGTGATCAATTTGGAACAAGATATTCCAAGAACATGCTCAGCGTGCAAGAAGTTGAATCTTGATCTTCTGTAGCATCCCTACAACATCTTTCATGTTTGTCCTTCTTGCCGGAGATTCAGTACAACAATCTAATGCCACTTTCATGATTGAAGACACAACATCTAGCTTCTTCTGTAAGCGATTATCCATTGGTGTTACCAAGTTGGCATCTATAACATCCATTACTGCCTCTGGGAGTGAATAACTCACCCATTGCTTCAAGTTAAGATCTCCCTCAAAATCACTAGGCTTTCTCCTAGTAAATGTTTCCAGCAACATAATCCCGTAACTATAGACATCGCATTTTACTGACACCAATCCATACTCTACAGTCAAATAATTAATTTAAAGATGCAGTATACTTTCTTGATTGGAAAAAAAAAAAGACGAAAAATCAATGTTCAAATTAGCAAAAACAAAGAGACGTACCCGATGCAATATAACCAAATGTTGCTAAGGTTTTTGTGTATAAATCACTCTTATCTTCACCAAGCAGTTTTGAAATACCAAAGTCGCTTAGGTGGGCAACCATATCCTCATCCAAGCAAGACGTTACTAGGTTTTATATCACAATGAATCACGGGATAGGAGCATCCATGATGGAGATATTCCAACGAACATGCCACATCTATCATAATGCTTAGTCTCTGCCTGATGTCTAGGAAGTAGTTGTGTGAATACAAATACTTGTCAAGACTTCCATTAGGCATATACTCGAGCACTAAAGCCTTAAAATCAAGGTTGGAACAACTAGTGATGACTTTCACGAGATTCCTATGGCGAAGGCTACGCAAAACTTCACATTCTGTATCTGTCACGCCCCGAGCCTACACCCTGGGCGGGACCGGCACTCGGAGATCATCGC